GGCGTGTAGTCAAATGAGTCTGATTCATTGGGGCGGCGGGGTGTGTGTGTGTGTGTGTGTGTGTGTGTGTGTGTGTGTGTGAGGGAACTGAACTCAGGACTTCATGCTTGCCAGGAATGAGTCTGAACTAAAGTGCCAAAGACATCGTTTGGAGGAAGGCAGCTTCCTCAATAAATAGGTAATGGATAGGACCCAAAAACCCCCAAACAATAAAACAATTGCCAAACTAAAATGCTTCTGCATAACAAAGGAGATAAAGTGAGATAAACTATAAAACCAAAACATCAACTGTTCATCTGATAAAGGACTGATATCTAGAACATATAAGAATTCATAAAGTGTAACCATAAATAATACAGTTTATAATGAATAAGTGACCCAAACTGGAACTTCTCAAAAGAAGAAATATAAATAGCTAACAAATATATGAAAAATGCTTAATATCATTATCAGGAAGCTAATACTATCTTGCAAGATTTAAATCACTATTTTAAAAAGCTAGTGAGTATGTGGAGTAAAAGGAACTCATGCACAATTATTACACACATTATTTCAGGTGAAGATTCTGGCATTCTAATGCACATGTAATGTATTTTAATAAAAATATGGACATGCTAGATTTTGAAGCTACTTTTTTGCATAATCTATCAAATAGCTGTGTTATGCTACAATTTTACTATTACATTTCTTTCCTGCAGTAGGTATTTGGTAAAATACCCTGATAGACTATTATGATTTGAAGAAAAAAATCTAAGTAATGCATTATTAGTTATAGATGCTGCACTGTCATTTACTGTTCACTGTGCATGATTTTTATTGGTTTTTTCATGCAAAGTATCCACAGATAAAATTAATGATGAAACCGGACCCCAGCTTGATTTGGAGTATCATGATATTGGTTCTCACCCAGGTGTTTGCCTTTTACTCAGTAAAAGATTGAAACTGGAATGGAGTCATATTCTGGCCTATGTCATTGGCAGCCCCATCAACCACTCAATGACTCTGACTATTCATGAGATTGTACACAACTTTCCATTTGGCAACCACAAGGCACTGTGGAATCGCTGGTTGGGAGTGGTTGCCAATCTTTACACTGGGTTTCCATATTCAGTTTCCTATAAGAGGTACCACTTGGATCATCATAGATACCTTGGACCTGATGGCATTGATGTGGATATTCCTACTGATTTTGAGGGCTGGTTCTTCTGTACCACTTCTAGAAAATTTATGTGGGTTATTTTCCAGCCTTACTTTATTATATTTTGACCTCTGTTCATCAACTCCAAACAATTTTCTAATCTGGAAATCATCAATATTGTGGTTTGGATTGCTTTTGACATTTTAGTTTACTATATTTTAGGAATTAAGTCATTAGTTTACATATTGTCAACATTATTGCTTGGTCTGGGATTAAATCCAATTTCTGGACATTTTTTTAGCAGAACATTACATGTTCTTACAGGAATATGAAACTTACTCATATTATGTGATAGGATTTTTGGTGTGGTAATACAGATAATATAAAGTAAAAATGACCTTTATTCTAAGAACATGGAGGGAATTCCATGACCGCCGGGACCTGACTTTCTCTGCTGGCAACATGGTATAGGGGGCATACATATAGTTTCTCACTGGGGTGTGCTTAAAGGTGGCATTGCTGATGCTCAAGTAGCTGATTGGGACTCTTTTCATGCCACAAGTAAGTTGCATAGGGGAGGGGAAAGTGACCTCAAGGTAAATAAACTTCCCCTGGTCCTGCCTCCCACTGCTGTAATATCGTGTCTAGGGCAAAACCCTTTCACTCCCATCTTTTTATTGTTAGGAAAAGGGTGAAGTCTCTCTCTTACTACTTCCTGCGGAAAGGGGGCACCATACTGGGGCTTAAGAGGGTTGATGGGATGATGGTTGATGCCCATGCAGAAGCTGGTGCCAGGTGTTTCAGCCAGGACAACTTTATCATTTGTGAATGCCTGCACATTAGATGGAAAAACAAAGAGACAAGGTGCTATGAGGAGGCAGGCCACTATCATATTTAAGAACCCAGGGGAGGTAGATGGAAAGGTGCCTTTGATTTAGATATGTCCACCTACCACGGTGAGGTAGAATTCTGAAAAATAAGTGTGGGGTTAGGAGGAGTGAAGTTATGAGAGGTGATTATTCCCCCATCTGAAAGGGTAAAAGTTAAGAGAGTAGGTAGGTAGGGCTTGTCTCTGGCCCAGGAGTTGAGCTGGAAAGAATAAAAGGGATAGGAAAGGCTGTGGCTGTGTCACTATAGGGAAGGTAAGAACCTAGACCTTCAGGGATCTCATGTTTGAATAAACAGCTGAGGGTGGAGAGAATAAGACAGTTGTCACGTAGAACAATATGAAGACGATCTTACACATGATGTCGGAGTCTTTAGGAAAGACTGTTTAGAGTCCTGCTGTAAAAAAGATAATTAATTAATAGAATATAAGGAATTAGGAACCAAATTGGATAACAAAACATGACTTGGCCTGAGAATTGTGGCTGTGAGGCCTTGGTGAGATGGAGATGAGTGGGCACTAGAAGATGAGATGACCACTTTGGATGGTTAGATTTAGGGCTGGAAGGGCACCGCTTGAGTGATGTGGAAACGAGATGGCACTCCAGCAACTTTGACTGCTGTTGGGGTTGCCAAGAAGATCAGGTAGGGTCTGCTCCACATTGGTTGTAGTCTTTGGGATGATTTCCTGTAACGAGACTTTATTAAGTATAGCAGCAGTCTCCCTGGTTGTGGGAAAGGCTTTTATCTATCCTGAAAAAGTACAAAGGTGAGAAGATATTTGAGAGTTTTGTGGCAGGGGATGTGTGTAAAATCTACCTGCCAGTCCTGACCAGGGTTGTGTCCAAGAAACTGATGAATAGGAAAGGAAGGGGGTGCTATGTGTCCCTGAGGAGAAGTTTTACTCTAGAGATGACAGGTGTAAGTTGTTGAGACCTCAGAGTGTCTGGGTCAGTCTTCATAAACACAAAGGAATAAAAAAGGCATTTTTAAGATCTGTGACTATAAAGTGAGAGGTGGAGGGAGGGATATGAGAGAGCATGGTATAAGGGTTTGGCACCACTGGGTGGATTGGGGTAACAGCACTATTGATTACCCTAAGGTCCTGTACTAGATGGTACAACCCATCAGGCTTGAGTACCAGAAGAATGGGAATATTATAGGGTGAATGGGTAGGTTTAAGAAAACCATTGTCTAAAAGGTGCTTAATTTTAGGTTTAAGTCCCTCTAAATGTTTGGGAGCTAGGGGATATTGGGGAACACAAGGAAAAATTGAAGGATCCCTGAGATGAATTAAAATAGGCATGGCATGGGTAGCACAGGTGGGATTGGAGGTATCCCAAACTATGGGATTGACTAGAGAAGAAGGAAGGGGAGGGGATGACTTTGTGGCATACCGTGAGGATGTTTGGAGGACTCAAGCTGTAGGGAGAGAGAAGGTAAGGAGAAGTTAAGCTTTTGAAGGAGATCTCCACTTAAAAGAGGTGTGGGGCATGTTGGAATTATTAGGAAGCTATGGGTAAAGAAGAGGGTCTGGAACCTGCATGGAATAGGCCCTAGCTACAAAGCCTGCATAGGCTGGCCATCAACATCCACCACAGAGACTGAGGACTTAATACAAGGACCTGAAAACTCAGGACGTACGCTATAAGTCGCCCCCACATCTACGAGTACAAATAGTGTCTTACCTGAGACCTCCAGCGAGACTCGGGGCTCTGAGAAGGATACCTTAATGGGGACTGTGGGCCCTGAGCCCTGTCAGTCTTTAACAGCGAGTCCAAACAGATCAGTCAACAATGAATCTGGCAGAGATGGAGTCTCCTGTGAGGGTAAGGAGTTAGAGGATGGCTTACCCACTCGTTGACCATTAGCACAGTCACTCTTCCCAGGGGCCCTTGAGATCGCAACAGGGGCAAGGACCCAAGGGAACACCAGGATTGGGGCACTCTCTTGCCCAATGTCCTTCTTTGCTGTACTTGAAGCATGGTCCAGGAGAGGCTTAGGCAGCTCCACCTTGTTTTGGCTTTCTTGTCTTGGGAGCCCCAAGTGCCACTGCTAAGAGATCAGACTGATATTTAGCAAATTTCTTTTTTGTGCCTCTTTTTCCTCTTTTTGAGTTTTTTCTGTTGTTGAAAACATGGAAAGCCAAATTAAGAAGGTCTCCTTGTGGGGCTTGAGGGCCATGTTCAGCCTTTTGTAACTTTGCATGAATATCAGGAGCAGACTGAAAAATAAAATGAGAATTAGCGACAATCATCCCTTCATGAGAATCTGAGTTTACATTAGTAAACTTAATTAAAATGTCCCTGAGCTGATTTAGGAACACAGCTGGATTTTCATTAGCTTCCTGGACCTGTTCTAAAAGTTTGTTATAGTTAGTAAGTTTATGAGCAATTTTATTAAGGCCCACAATTAGACATTCAATATCTTATGTATTTTATGAGAACCTTCTCCATTTTGGTAATTCCAGTTAGGATCTTGTTCTGACACTGCAGTAGGCCCAGGGTCATTTTCAGTGGTATTTGCCTTATGTCTGTGATCCACTTCTTCTCAAGCTGCTTGCCACAGCTGAGCTCACTCTTGTGAGCTGAGGGTGGAGTTCAGAATCACATAAATATCCTTAAAAAGTAAATCATAATAATTAGTTATAAATTTAAATTCTCTGATATAATTCTGTGGGTCAGCAGAGAAGCAACCTAATTTACGGCTAATCTGAGATAAGTCAGAAAGGGAGAAAGGCACATGTATATTAACAAGTCCCTTGGGGCCAGCCTGAAGTGGGAGCAGAGATTGAGTCGGTGAAGACCGTGGAGTAGACAGCCATCAAGCAGCCAGCTGTCCAGCAGGTGTGTGTGGGCAGTTACCCGATGATTGGCTACAGAGCGGCCACTCCTCACCACGAGACAAGGAAACACAGACCGCTGGCGGGTTGCCATGTGACCTGCACTGGCCTAGCATGGTGAGTCATCATGTGACCTGCAGCAGGGTGCTCACTGCTAATCACATGAGGAGCCACAAGGGGGTGGCCATTGACAGTGAGACAAGTCCCAAGATGGCAATACCCTGTCATGTGGCAGAGGGCTGCAAGATGGCAGCTGTCTCCCACCCAAGCTGCAGCAACCATGTGGCCTGCCAGAAGGCTGGAACGCCCGAGACCAAGTATGGTGAGCTGGCAGAGAAAACGTCCATGCAGGGGAAGGAGACAAAGAGCCTCAGATAGGAAAGACAGCTCGAGTGGGGGGATTGAGAAGTTGGAGACTGGGGAGAAATGCTAAGGGAGGACTGGAGGCCTAGGGGGAGGAGGAGGAGAGATGGTGGCACAGAGGGTATAGAGACCTTTGGCTGAGAAGGCTGCAGGGTTTGAACTCAGGGATGGAGGGGAGTTAAAGACAGGGGGCACGTCATCTAAAGGGTCTTGAGGGGAGGAGGGAAAAGTTTGTGGTGCAGTAGAGCTGGCTAAAAATATTTGAGTAGGTGTACATTACTTAATGAGAGAAGAGCATGTTCTCAGAGTAAGGAAATCCTGTACACATGGAATTTCTGCTAACATGTCACCAGTGTAACAAAAGTCATATAAATTTTTTAGAATATAGGGGTTAGACATCCTCTCTTTAGGCCATGGGCTGTCGTTAAGTTCATAGGTTGGCCAAGCCTCCTGGCAGTAAAAGATTAATTGTTTAATTCTTATCGTTTTCTTTAGGCCAAAGGGTACCAAGGTTATGAACCAGGCACCCCAGAGGTGTGTTTTTTGGGAGAGAGGAAAAAGCATTTCCCATAACCGAATTAAAAGTGAGCCAAAAATGACAATTTTGCCCAGACCACGCCTGACCAAAAGAGATTATCACCTATTTTGGGAGCGTGGTTAAAGAAATGGCTCCAACTTGTGCCCATTGACCATCATCAAATGGCACTGGTGGGGCCCCACAAGACCACAGTAATGGCTCTGCCTCAGACTGTCCAAGGAATGTGAGAACTGCTACCTCAGTCCAGGGATGGGATGGGTAATCTGGCATGAGTCCGGCCTATGGCCACAGAGAAAACCCTCAGATGGAGGTTGGCTCACCTGCAATGAATGAATTAAGCTAGTGTTGTTTGCAGGCTGGTGGTGACAAGTTGAGCAGCTCCCACATGTTCAGAAATGAGGAATCAGTCCAATATATGGTCCATGAATTAGCAGGGGGACTCAAACTGGGGAGTCACTCATGCTGCCTTCCTGGTCGGGGAACCAAATGATAGGATTTTTGGCACAGTAAAAGAGAGAATATAATATGAAAATGGCCCTTATTCTAAGAACGTGGAGAGAATCCCCTGACCACTGGAGGTCTGGCTTTCTCTGCTGGCAACGTGGTGTGGGGGGCATACATATAGTTTCCGACTGGGGTGTTCTTAAAGGTGGCATTGCTGATGCTTGAGTAGCTGACTGGGACTCTTTTCACACCACAGGTAAGTTGCATAGGGGAGGGAAAGTGACCTCAAGGTAAATAAACGTCCCCTGGTCCTGCCTCCCACTGCCATACTATCCTATCTGGGGCAAAATCCTTTCATTATGGACCTCTGAATCTGCTGGCCTTCAATGTTGGTTATCACAATGAACATCACAACTTCCCCAGCATTCCTGGAAGGAACCTTCCAGTGGTGAGTAAGGATTTGATGTCTGTTTTACTTTCCTTTGGTCATATAGATTGATTTGGTGATATAAAAAGCAATCTATTATATTATCAATCTAAACTGCTCATCCAAAAAGAATAAACATCCTATGTGCATTATCAAACTTTTATTAAGGGTTCACATGACTGATTCTGTAAGATTACACTTAGGAGTCAAGTGTGTTTGAGAATGCACAACATTATCTGGTAAAGTAACTCAGAAATGGAGAACGAAATCCCTCGTAAAGACCAGTTCATGGCCTTCATCACATTGAGATGAGAATTTTCCCCAAAATTTGCACGTCCTGTCATGAACCAAAACTGTTAACAAAACTGTTCTGCAAAGTGAATGGAATCAGCTTCCAAACTAATCTTCCCCAGAGACCAGCTATCCGTCAGAGGTGTCCACAGCCACCTAATACACTTGTGTCGATGGCTCTGACCTGTGACAACAAATACTGAGGTATTTGGGGGTGCAGAGCATGAGCAGCTGTCACGTAGTGGATTTGTAACACCACATGCACAGAGGCAACCTGGATGGGGCGAATGGTTGGTGATCATAGGTAAAGGGTGTGAGGCTCATTGCACTCCTCTGTCACCTTTTCAGTGGGTTTTACTGGGAGCGAACAGCACAGCACACACGGGACGACAGGAACGGCAGTGCAGTGTCGCGCTGGCCCTGCTGCACGGCACACTGTGCCCTGTGCAGCCCCACAGAGCCTCAGCATCAGCCTGGGGAGCGGATCTGGTGAGGAGGGAAGTGGTTTAAAGGAAAAGCAGTCACCCTTTCCACAGAGAGTTTTCCCTGCACCAGTGACAAGTGCCCGCGCAGCCGGCTCCTCAGCCAAGTGGGCTCACTGGGGCTGGGCATTTAACTCAGCAGCATAAGCACCCGCCTTGCAAGTGTGCAGTTGTGAGTTCAATCCCTGGTACTGATAGAAACGAAAAAGACAAAAAAAAAAAAAAAGTACCAAGTGGGCTCACAGCCCGACGGCCCACAGCTTGACTCGCCTGCTCTCTGTGATACGTGCTGAAGAGAATCTTGGTCCCTTTTCTCAGTAACTGCTGTACTTAGCGCATGTTTCCTGCTATGCTATTGCATGATGAACAGGGATGCAGCAGTGAAGTGTGCTTTGCACAGCGCTGTGAAAGGTGACTCATCTGCAGGTTCCTCATGTAACGTGCTCCCTTGGGTGCTTTTAGTACATGCAGAGCTCTGCAGCCTCACTGTCGTCAGCATCAGGATATTTGCACCAGTAGCAAGGTTTTGACCTAGTATGGTCATTGTGCAGTTTATACTGCAGGGCTTTGGTTTCTGTGTCTCAGATGGTGTCCTGCTGTTTCACTCAGGCTCTTCTCATGCTCTTGGTCTCAGCCACCTGAGCACTGGGATTGCAGGTGCACTCCACTGTGAGCGGCTTCGCACGGACTTGAACCCGAGGCCTTGCGCATGGTAGTCACGTGCTCTACTGTGAACTACATCTCTGGTGAAATTTTATGGTTTTGGTTTTTTATTTTTTTGAGTGCTGGGTATCAAAATCACAACCTTGTACTCACCATGCAAGCACTTGTGCCACTGAGCTGAGGCCCCAGCCCCTGGTTTTATGTATTTTTACTGAGCTTTGCAGTCCATAAACAGCTTTTCTTTGTTATTTGTTTGTTTGTTTGTTTTACCATGGATCAAACTCAGGACCTTGTGCTTGCCAGGCAGGCGCTGTGCTGCTGAGCTGTGTCCCTGGTTTCCCAAAGCAGCTTTTATAAATGCCTGTATTTCCATTTGTTGATGACATCGCAGGGTACACAGACATCCAGAGATTTATGTCACTGTTTGAATCAAACAGACATGTGCTTAAACGTTTCCCTGAATTTGGAACTCCTGACATGGAGGAGCTTATTAGTTTTCGGTGTATCCCCATAACACATGCACAGATCACCAACTTCCTCTGCTCTGTGACTGCTAATGTCCCTTCAGTGTCTAGCACTCAGGAGTCAGCACTTGCTGAACCTGTGCTTGTGCAAGGCTGGTGTCCTGCTGGAGCTGGGAAGATGCGCTGACTGCTGCTGGCTTTGCCCCAAGCGGTGTGGATTACATAAGGGCAGGCTTGTTGTGTGTGTGCGGGTCTGCAGGTCTTCCTTTGGGGAGACTCAGGAGGGCTGTGAGCAGAGGCATTGTCCTCTGAGGTTTGGTGCTGGCTTCTCCCTGTTTGTGTGGATCCCTCACCTGTCACCTTTGCCGGCCTCACTGTCCCTCAGTGCTCACCCTGCTGTGTCGATTCCTGTGCAGGTGAGGAAGATAGCAGCGGAATACTATGACAACCTGCCCCACTACAATTCCTGGGTGAAGGTGCTGTACGACTTTGTGATGGATGATACCATAAGCCCCTACTCCAGAATGAAGAGGGCTCCAAAAGGGCAGGAGGTGCTGGAGTAAAGCTCATCACAGCAGAGGAATCCCCTGCGAAGCCTGGGAATAGCCGACCCAGTGTACTCTGTGAGAGGAGGCCTCAGGTCAGCAGTGCTTACGAGCCAGCCGCCTCACCCACTTGTGTTTCGGCTGGGATCTCAGTGGAGTCAGCCTGGCCCTGTGTGCTCAGCTTACCTCGCTTGCTGTGATCTCTTCCCTGGGAAGGGGCGTCTCCTCCCACGTCTGTCATTGTGTAAGCAGAGTTTTACTTTACTAAAACAGCTAATAAACTAAAATATGGATTTCAGAGTAGTCGTACTTATTGTGGTTTTGTATTTCACTGTTTACAAAACACAGTTTGAAAAAGACTGAAAGTACTGTTGGATGGAAGGTTGAGACTGAAATAATGTGGGACTATAAATGTGCACTTTTTACCGCTGTACCATGACCTAGATGGGAAGCTGCTGGTCCTGAACTGCCTTCCTCCTGAGTAAAGTGCGCAGGGAACCCGACCCGTCCAACACTGGCTGCCTCCTCCTGACGCACCCACTCTCATTAGCCAGCCCCGCAGACACACTTCCGCTCCACGTGGAGGGGAGCAGTTGTGAGGGACACCCCAGGGAGGGGATCGCTCTCAAGCAGTGTCATGGGCTGTAAGCCAGCCGTCCTGGCCTCCTCAGAGGGGTCACTTGGGTCAGTGCAGTGTGACAGGGCAGCAAGGTGTAAAATCTGTCAGCAGCACTGCAGCTCCGTGAAACCTCAGGCAGCTGAGCAGGAAGCACAGACCTTCCTGAGAGGGCACCCCTGCTCTGAGACCTAGCTTCACCCCAAAATGCTTGGGTTTCCTTTTCCACCCTCCTGCTGGGGAAACTCCCGGTATGACTGGAGGCTTTGTGTAAGCAGCACTGATGGGAGATTAGAGTGACAGCATGACCAGCTCTGCCATGCTCGTTTCCTCAGTCCCTCCCGCAGTATCTTGCACACACCCATGCCCTGGGTAAGCAAAACTCAGAAAGAAACTTCAGTCTTTCTCTTCCTCTGTAAAGTCTTCCCAGCTCAGGCAAGCAACTCCTCGGGCAACCCCTTCCTCTGGAATTTAGATTTTAGGTTTCTCACCAAGGTCCCATGCTTTTCTCACTGATAAGGGAGACACTTCAAGCAGTTCTCTCACGGGAATGTCCTCCTCTAGAGGGTCAATACTTTGTACCATGACCAATAAGACTAATAAATCAGGTTGTAAACACACTTCACAGCATGCCAACCTCCTGAGGTACATAGGGATTATTTTCTTTTCAAAGCTAATACATAGCCAGCTGCTGGCATAACAAACTATCATTGTCATGCTTCTGGATCTCTACTTGCTTAACACCACAAATTGTATAAAAGGAGACCTCGTCTTGTTCAGTGTGCCTCTATTCAGTGTCTTGGAAATTCCACAACATTTTTTGAGAGCCACAAAGAACTGGAGGGGACAGGCTTGCCGTCTCTTTTTCCTGCAGGCTGGGGACTTGTGAGCTGGGGAAGACTCTCCTCTAGAAACACTTGACCGGTGCAGCCCCCCAATGAGACAGGAGACGCTCTTGTGGGCGACAGTTAACTGCTGCTTTATTTACGCGGGCTCAGGTTTATATATTTGGCCGTGACCAATCACAGGCTGCCACGAGGAAGCAGGGCGGGAATGGGTCGCAGGCTCTGGCTACTATATCCAGCTGTGGCCAATCAGGGGTTGCCACAGAGTCAGCACGGGGCGAATACGGAGTGAGCACGAGGTGCGCACGGGTTGGCTAATTTAGAGAGGGACTTAGCGCATTGCGGAAGCTGGTGTGATCCTTAGTCCCGGGTGGGGTATGGTATGTTGAGCGCCTGCGCCCAACAAACACTAAGTAAAACTCAGTTTTTATTTTATTTAATTAATTTTTTTTACTTTTTTTTTTTTTTGTCTTTTTCTTTTTTATTGGTACTGGGGATTAAACTCATGACCACATACTTGCAAAGCAGGTGATACGCCGCTAAGCTAAATCCCCAGCCCCTAGTAAAACTCATTTTAGAGAGAGAACTGGCTCTCCCACAGCCCTGGAGTTTGCCTCTCCTCCCAGTGGAAATGAAACCTAAAGAGGGACAGGATGACTCAGGAACACTATGTGCTACAGGCCCTTGGTAACGTAAAGGATCCTAAGGGGGAACACCCATCCTGTTAGGACGGAAAGGGAGCCTGGTCACCTACCAGGGAGTACCTAGTAATCCAACCTGGACCAAAAATTGGACTATACCAGCATCCCAGAGCAGGCACGGCCTGCAATGAGAATTGGATTATAGGGGTGCATGGGGGTATTAGAGGAGTCCACCATGAGAGAAGCTCATGGTTGGTCCAATCTGGACTAAGTCAGATGATACCCACAACCCCAGGTGAGATGCAGAGATGGAGATGCAGATGGCCTGTGGCAAGAGATGCTCTCTGACTACTGTACACTAGAAAAAAGAGCTTTGTTATATTTGTATTATACCAAAATACCTGTAATGTGGCCTACTGTTCTATATGCGTGTTTCCTTTCCTCTGGATGACCTAATTGATATGTTAATCAATGCTCTCCTCTGTAAAGAATTATAAAATCTTACCTAATTGATATGTTAAACATTGCTGCCCTCTACAAATAACAGATGTGGTGCTAAAATAAGATAACAAAAGGTTGTTAATTGCTGTTAGACTCCTCTGTCCCCATTAGCCTACCTCCTGATCTATCCCCAAGCCCCTTTATAGACAGTTAGGCTACAAATACAGTGGGGAGGACAACTTGCAACTTGGGGGAGGCCCATGGAGACTAGGGAGTGTTGGGATTGAGGCAAGTGGCCCAAGCTAGGAAAGGCTTAGGAATCTGAAACCTGGATATAAACAACTGCAAAGAGGAGGTGTGTGAATGTGTGTGTGAGTGTGTGTGTGTGTGCGCGCGCACACGCATGCACAAAGAATGAAGAGTCTGGATCTGAAGGGTGTGAGGAAAATATATAATTGTGTGTGAACGAGCAAAGTGCAGTGTGTGAATCTGCAGTCACCTGGGCTCAGCTGGGGACTGAGACTAAAAGATGTCTGAGTAGCCAGCTTGTCCAGTGGCTGGACTAGAACTAAAGCACAAGACTGAGAGGCTTAGGCCAAACTGCACCCGCCAAGATTGGAGCGACAAATTGGGACAGAGTTGTGTATCAGTCAGGATTTGTTAGAGAAACAAATACAACAGAGGATATACAAATGTATGCAAAATTACCAAGTAGGTTTACAATTGTCAGCCAGAGTTGGATGAGGAAATTGGTAGGTGTCTGCACGCTGGAGGCTGAACGGTCCAGTCCACTGTAGTGTCCTGTGCAAGTCCATATCAGGATGCTGATGGGTCTGCAGAGAAAACAGTGGAGAATCTATGCCAGAAGGCCAAAGAGTTCCAGGTGGAAAATGAACAGTCTGCACTAGAAGCCAGGAGATGACATCCAAGCTGAAGGTGAAGACTGGAGTTCCCTTGACAAACCAGCAGTCAGTCCTTCCTCGTTTCCCTTTTATTGTATGCAAGCTATCTGCCCTGGGGAGGGTCCTTTACACCCACAACATCTCTGTGCCCTCTTCTTGCACAAGCTGAGGATGTTTACAGAGTAAGGAAGCTGGCACTCTGCTGAATCACTTAGTTAAACTACTGCAGTTGACACAATGAACAACATCCCCCATGTAAGGGCACATCTTTGGTACCCCTGGATGTACAGCTACTAAGTTACTTAGTTAAACTTCTAGACTTCTCAAGTCGACACAGTGTATCAACCATTACAATTCAAAGTCAACACAGAGCAAGACAGTGCCTGGGATCTCCTCTCAGCGGAGAGCCACAGGCCAGCATTTTCTTGGTGTTACCAGCCTGGTGCTGCCTGCAGGCATTCTGAAACTGGACGAGCTCCAGCCTGGGGCTGTGTCTTAGTTACTTTTTATTCGTCGCTGAGACAAAATACCTGAAGCCCAAAGTTGGGAAAGGAAAGGTTTATTTCTTTCAGTTTTTGGAGGTTTCAGTCCACACTCAGTTGGCTCCAAGACAGGCAGGCATGGCTGGGCCACAGTTCATGGCGGCCACCCACTGCAAGCTCGAACCAGCAAAGAGAAAGACACACCTTCTTCCTGCCATTACATCACATTCTGGCTCCACCCCTATGTGGGTGGAGCACTGACACCATCAATCCAAGCACTATACAATGAACCATCACATATGAACAATGCAAACTCATGAGGCCTGGGGGACACAGACATAAACCATGACAGGCTGAATGGCCAAAGTCCTGTTGGGTCTAAGAAAGGTTTACAGAAATATAAAATTACAAGTATTAACTAATTGCAGTATACTTTTGGTTTCTAATTTGAGTTGATTAGATAGGGTGTTTAAAGCATTTCTTGTGCATTGCAAATTCTTGAATTGCAATTACAGGGTCAACTTGCTTTTTTCTCTGCTCTCTGTTGGTTTAAGATAAGAATGCTTGATTCAAGGTTACTTAGAGGTCTGTGGGCAGTCAGTCAAATTTGCAAAGTAACAATATGAGGACAAAAAGAGAAAACAGACATTTTAAAATCCAAGCAGCTGCAGCCAAGATTGTTATAGGAGGTTTATAGAAACTTCGAGAGTGAACTGCTCCACATGTGGGTAGAGATGGGGGGAAAGTATCAAAACTCACCCCACTGGAATGTATGCTAAATAACTTTAAGAAAGATTACACTGAAAAGAAAAAAAGAAAGGTTATACTGGGCAATATGGAGTAAAATTAACCCCCCAGAGAACTCTATGAAATTCATTGGCAGTTTTTTAACGTATGGTGGCCAGCTCAGGGGATGGCGGGAGTGATGAGAAGGATACACCAAGTGGTACCTGGAGATGGAGGACAGCTCTCTGTTGGTTAGAGAACCATGCCCCCACAGGAGTGATAAATGTCCAAGTGTACACTCAAAGTCACCTCCCTGAGAATGAACCAAATTGGGACCCCAATGTTGTAGCCTAACAAAATATTAGAAAGTCATCCTGGAAGGCTTAAAGACAGGAAACAAAAAAGCCATATATATGGTAAACATTTCAGAGATGTTCCAAAAACCAGACAAAACCCTATTCAATTCTATGAGTGACTTGGTGAGGCATTTCATCTCTACACTTCATTAACCTGGAAATCAATGCAAGGTCAATGCAGGACCAGCCCAAGGGTACATCAAGTGGAAATTACAGAAGCCAGAGGCTTTGCTGGAATGAATGACACTCCCTCCTAGAAGTGGCTACTAAAGTTTATGTTAACTGGGAT